TGCAGTGGTTCCACTCCTACTTGATTGGCGGATTCCAGAAGGTGGTGCTGGGGGAGTGTGGCTCTGCACCATGACAACTCTGCCATGGAGTTTGGCAGGGTTCCATATTATCCCCATTCTACTTAACATCTACATGAAACCACCAGGAGAGGCCATCCAAGATTTTGGAGTCATCAGTATGCTGATGACACCCAGCTCTACCTCTCTTTTACATCTAGTCCAGATGAGGCAGTGTTGGTCCTTAATTGGTGTCTGGCTGGGGTACTGGGCTGGATGAGGGCCAATTAATTGAGGCTTAATGCAGACAAGATGGAGCTCCTGTGCTTCAGCCTTCCAGGTGAGTGATTGTAGCAGTGCACTCCCTCTAAAAGACAGGGTATGCAGCTTTGGAGTGCTCCTTAAGTCAACCTTGACCATGACCTGTCCCTGAAACATCAGGTACTGGCAGTGGCGAGGAGCCCTTTCCTCCAGCTTCAGCTGATACATCAGCTGTGTCCTTACCTGGATGAGCAGTGCCTGGTAATGGTGACCCATGCTCTGGTGACTTCCCATTTGGACTTTTGCAACACACTCTGCTTGGGGATGCCCTTGAAGACAATCTGGATACTTCAATTGGTCCAGAACAGAGCTGCCAGGCTGCTGACGGGGCCTGGTCGTTACTCTCACATAATACCAGTTCTCTACCAGCTCCACTGGCTTCCAGTTGAAGTCCAGGCCCAATTCAAGGTGCTGGTTTTGACCTATAAAGACTTAAACGGCTTGGGACCAGGATACCTGAAGGAACGTCTCCTTCCTTATATGCCCTCATGCCCCTTAAGATCTATGGGGGAAGCCCTGCTCCAGGAATCCCCTCCAAGAGAGGCAAAACGGTCATCAACTCAGAGTAGGGCCTTCTCTGCTGTGGCACCCAGATTCTGGAATGTACTCCCCAGAGAGGTACACCTGGCGCTGAGCTTATACTCTTTTTGGCACCAGGCTAAAATCTTTTTATTTAAACAGTATTTTAAAATTTAACAACTTTTAAGTTTAGTCGCTCTGTTTGGTTTATTGTTTTGTTCTGTTTTATTATCGAAATTGTTGTTTTAATAGTCCTTTTAAATATGGTAAACCATCCTGGTATCTTGTATAATAGGGCAGCATACAAAAGTTTTAAATAAATAAATAAATAAATAAGGTGTGTCCCCAGATACTCCCATATCACACCAGTCCTATACCATCTGCACTGGCTGCCAATTGAAGTCTGGGCCCAATTTAAGTTGTTGATAATGACCCATACAGCCCTTGGGTCCTGGATACCTGAAGGTGCGCCTTCTTCCCTGTGTGCCTGCCTGCCCCTTGAGATCTGAGGCAGAGGCCCTTCTCTAGGAGTCCTCTTTGAAGGAAATTAGGAGAGAGAGTACCCATAAGCTACCCTTTTCAGGGTCTTTTCGGTGGTGGTGCCCTGACTTTGGAACATGCTCCCCAGGGAGGTTTGCCTGGTGCCATCGCTTTATTCTTTTTGGCATCAGGCAAAAACCTTTTTATTCTCCCAACATTTTAACATTTAATTGGATTTATCTTTGATTTTATCATTATTGGTTGGATGCAGTATGTTTGTTGGTATGTTGTTGTTTCTGTTTTTTGCTTTATTTTAATTTTTTTTGTTTTTGTTTTTTGTAAGCCATCCCGAGACTTTATTATTGGACAGCATATAAAAATAGTTGGGAGTGAAAAATCTTTGTTGATCTACTGAAAATCACCCACGGGTTTGCCATTAATGCTGATCCCTAACCCACACCTGCCCTACAGGACCCAAAAGAAGGAGAGAGCAGCACACCAAAAGTTCAACTTAGTTTTCCACTACTACCTACAAGATTATCAAAACATTACCCTTGTTGATTCCTTTTAAATTCCATGTTTTAGGGTCTTGAAGCGGCACATCAACACAAGTCACTGATCAATACAATAGACAGTTTTAAAGCCCCATCCACCAGGAAGCTCTTCTGCTAAGCGAAAATCAAACTGGGGTGATACAAAACCACCCAAAGATTCTTTCTATTCCATCTTTCCCAACTGCAGGCATTTCCTCTTTCCCAAATGACTCTCACTGGCTGAATGATCACTTACAACCAAGTGAATAATTGTATTTAGGACAGGTCAAATTTTTACTAACCGGATTTTACCGTGTTGGCCTTTCATTCACCAAATTTTGAAATCCTGAAAAGTTTAGAGCTTAGGGAAAAAGGCTTTGGAGATATACTCTTCTTGTTTTTGTTTCAGATACCTATTTGTGATATCTAAATGCTACAATGGGCATGGTGTGTTAAAAACTAATGGCTTGCTTGAAGCTAATACTATAGCTGAAAAGGCAGATAGTGTTGTCAGAAGATATAAGAACTGCAGGTTCCCAAGCCTGCATCCTATGATGGAATATTTATGCCCCAAGCATATAAAACAGATCATCATTCAAAATATTTGATGAAATGATTTCTACTGGCTTGGATTTGACATGGAAGGGGCAAAATTCAATGAATGGGCTAGATTCTGTTTTAGTTGAATCACACCCATCAGTGGCCAGTTTTCCCATTTCTCCCCCATTCATTTTTCTGTGCTTTGGAGTCCTATTTATTCCATTATATGCATGCATAAATCTATCCAATGGGTTTTTCAGTGCTCAACTTTTGTAGGCTTCTGTTCAAAGACCAGTTTCCCCATACTTCCATTCGAATTAAGCTACGTTCTAGGAGCATGAAATTTAAGAAGGTGCATCATATCCTTACATACAAAGAAAAGCATTTAACCATTACTACTAATACTGCCATACATTTAATTTACGGAAGTGGGTGAAATAAGCAGGATGGCTTATTCAATGCCTAAAACTACTTATTTTTCAGCTATCGAAAATGCTAACAGTAACGGCCAAGTTTTGAATTCAGTGGAACATTCCATCATACCAAATTATTTAAAGGGCTTTGTAATTGCCAGTTGCTCCTGAAGGTTGCCTGCCAAGTATTTTACTGAGATCTCAGAGCATTTCTTTCACCTTGAGAAACCAGTTCACTGATTTAGCACATGGTGGTAGTGGTTCTTGCCACGCTTGAAAGAAAGAACAAGAAAGCTTTATTACCAAAGACTTTGGGAGTAAATCTACACCCAGTTTGCACAATATGTGCACTCGTTGTTGTATCAGATGTGCTCTTGAACGACTCTTCAAGCAGATTGTGAGAGGAACATATGCATTTAAGATGTGCATTTTCAAATGCAAAAGTGAGCAGACGCTGTGTCTAGACACCTTGTTTCAACGCATGTGTTCCTTGTAACAGGCAAAACAGAGACAAAATTTATGTTCCCAATCACAACTGATTCAAAAAGAGGACCACAAGGCATCCCTATTTCAAATGCAAGAGATCACACCCATCCCAATGCAAATATTTATACTCACAATGAGCCTGGTATCTGGTGAAGAACTGGATGGCTGAGAGAGCAGGAGAAGCCAGAGGTAAATTTCATGGTGCAAGCAAGCGCAGGGTTTGTATTATTGTTATGGTACAGCAGAAGTGTTGAACTTCTTACAGTGCAAGGGTGAAATTCCATTTTGAAAAAGTGCTTGAGTGGGGAGGCCAAAAGATCCATGCTGATGTACAAAAAAAAAAAAAAAATCTAGAATATTACAGCGGAATGCTCTTAGTGCTAGGAATTAAGCCAAACGAGAAGCATTGCAAGATCGTAGTAGGGGACTGCACAAAAAAGCCATGAAACTAACAAATGATTGATGGTTGGAAAATGGGGACAAAACTAGAGAGAGGGGCATGGCATCCCAGAGGGGTGGTTATATATTGTTTTATTATATTGGTATTGGTTGCTTTATTGTATTCTGATTTTAATAATGTACGCCGCCCTGAGATGTCATACATATAGGACGGCATATAAAAGTTATCAATAAATCCATAATTAGAGCATTAAAAATTTATATAGACCTGTCCACTGGTTTGTCCTTTTTTCATGATGCATTTCCTTCTTGTTTTCTGGGCGTAGGGAGGGATAAAGCCTAACAGGTCACCTTGCTATTATTTTATTTAATTATTATGTGTTACATTTATATCTCACCCTTTTCTCTCCAGCAAGGAAGACAAAGCAGCTGACACAATCCCCCTTTCCATTTAATCCTCTTAACAACCTTTGGGGTAACTTAAGCTGAGAGCCAGTGACTGGCCCCAAGACACCCAGTGAGCTCCATAGCTCAAGAGAACCTAGAACCCAGACCTCCCAAGTGCCAATCCAACATGCTAACCACTACATCACACAGTCTCTCACTGTTAGGCCTCACTGAGAGCACACTCCAAAACTATGGCGAGAGCTACTATATCTATACTCCTCAGAAGTGCACACGTTGCAGGAGGAAGAATGACAATGTGAACAAATGATCTTTTCATTCATTCATTCATTCATTCATTCATTCATTCTTCGATTTCTATCCTGCCTTTTTCCTACAAAGGGCTCAAGGCAGCTTACATCTCCTCCTCGGATAAACTATCTTCTGTGTCAGCCATTCAGACAAGGACTTAGCTCAAAGATAGAGGGAAATGATTTGCATATGTGACACCCCGATCCTTGCTAACTCTACTTAAAACAGGTTGCAGATGATGAAGAAAACTCTGCCATGAGACTCTGGATAACAGCTGCCCGTCATGGAAAAGCAATACAGGGCAAACTTGACCTGGCATAAAGCAGATTCAAATGTACTGTGACTGATCTCTACAAATCCCCAGGAGCCTTCCAAACAACCGCTCAACACTCCCCAGAACAGGGTTGTGGAGTGATGGAGAACATGCAATGGGGTATCCTTTAGGGTGCATGATATCAAGTTATGTTTCTGGGTTGTGGTTTTTTCTCTTTTTCCTTCCATTATTAAAAAGCAATTGGCACTAGACTGTCAGTAAGAAAAAGAATCAGGCAAACAAAAGATCCTATCTGAAAAAGGGAGGTGTGAAACAAGAGCCTCTGAAAATAATGGTGGACACACCAACATACACATCTCACTAAATGTACGTACCCAAGTGTGAATATGTGGGAGCGTATGTGCATGTCAGTATGCACATACCCCAAAATTATATTTACTGCATTTATGCAGCCCATGTAGCCCAATTAAATGTTAACACACAGAGGAAAAAGGATTACATCCAACCTTATTTCATGCCCACTTCTATTTGTAGTAACACGAAGAGAAACAAATTAGTATTTAATCTACTGCTACTTCTCCCTCAGCTTTTCTCACAGTCGATCCCTGTATTATCTAGTTGCCCAGACAGAAAGACTAAGTACACAGAATGAGAAAGAAATAATCTGCTTCTTCATCTTTAAGTTTGCTTCAATTTTTTCCTGTCTCGAACCAGATAAATGGTTAATTCTTTTGTAAGAGGCTTCCTTTCAGATAAGCAGGGGCAAGCCAACTTCAATCTTGCTCAGCCTCTGCTCCCCCCACCCACTGTCCAGTGATCCAGTATTGTGTGCTATATTTTCAAACTAAGACTGCTTACTCAGGAATTATCTGTGAGAAGGGACCCTGGAGTATGAATTCCCATTAAAAGTGCTTGGCACAGCTGGATCTGTCTGAGGTCCAGCTCGGCCAGGATTTTTTTCAAGAAGCAGGGCACCCAGCAGGTGTCAAGACGTTCCATCCAAAAGCACCTAGGTATTATGGCTCACCCGTAAGCTGCAGGCTGCCTTGTTGTCATTGTTGGTCGTGGAATCGTGTCCAACCCATCGCGACCCCATGGACCACATTCCTCCAGGCCTTCCTGTCCTCCACCATCCCCCGGAGTCCACTTAAGCACACACCCACTGGCCCAGTGGCTCTATCTAGCCACCTCACTCTCTGCTGTCCCATTCTTTTTTGCCATCAGTTGTTCCCAGCATTATTTATTTATTTATTTATTTATTTATTTATAACATTTTTATGCCGCCCCCATTGCAGAAAGCCTCGGGGTGGCTTACAAGGAAAAATAAACAACCATCAAATAACATTAAAAATTTTGGAGCATCTCGGCAATAATTTAAAACCAATAAATTAAAACAGTAATTAACAATTAAAGTATCGTTTGAATAAAAAGGTCTTAGCCTGGTGCCGAAAAGCAAATAATGATGGTGCCAGGTGGACCTCTCTGGGGAGCGCATTCCATAGGTGGGGCGCCACCGCAGAGAAGGCCCTCCTCCGGGTGCTCACCCTCCTAATATCCTTCACAGAGGGCTCCCGGAGAAGGGCCTCCTCCGCCGATCTCAAGGGGCAGGAGGGCATATATGGACACAAGCGCTTCTTTAGATAACCAGGTCCCAAGCCGTTGAGGGCTTAATAGGTGATAACCAACACCTTGAATTGGTTAGGGTCTTCTCCAATGAGTCCTTCCTTCTCATTAGGTGGCCAAAGTATTTAAGTTTCATCTTGAGTATCTGGCCTTCTAAAGAGCAGTCAGGGTTGATCTCCTCCAGGACTGACCAGTTTGATCGCCTTGCGGTCCAAGGGACTCGCAGGAGTCTCCTCCAGCACCACAATTCAAAGGCCTCAATCCTTCAGCGCTCAGCCTTCCTTATGGTCCAGCTTTCACACCATACACTGCAAGTGGGAAAACCATAGCCTTAAAGTTCCCCCAAACCAGTACTGAGCAGTCAATTCACTATCCCAAGAACCTTGGTAACCAATCCCCTTGCCTGCTCATGATCCTTCTGAAAACAAACTAAGCCCAGGGCTAAGTAAGATGTCAGTTTCCAGTTTCAGTAGTTCGTATTTTTAAGTGGGAAGCAATTGTGTTCTGCTGTCACTCTGGTCATGGGAGGCTGGTGACTATCCATGGTGCTGAACAACACCCCCAAAATAGGTTTATCACCAAACAGCACTATTATTGTTGTTGTTGTTGTTGTGATTATATTTGTATAGTTATTTCAATAGGCAGAGCTCTCTGGGTGGTTTACAACACATTAAATACAAAATAAAAATACAAATGGCATTAAAATCATTTAAAATCTTGTCATACGAAATTTAGAACCAAATTAAATCACATATGAAAAATTATAATAGCCTGCACAAATGTGTTTAAGCAGTTAGCAGAGCCCCCACCAACTAATTAAACAGAGGGCAGTCTTAACCTGGCACCAAAAGGATCCTACATCACTTATGAAGCTCAGAATAAAAGTGGCAATGGATAAGGACCTCACTCACTTAGGCTTCATACCAGCCATCAGAGGAACCTAGCAGACAAATAGTTTGACCTGGTTATTACTAGAAATATATAAGAAACTAACTTTGGATCATTTCTGTTCAGAATTTCATGCAGACTGCATCTTCTGGACTGAAGGTGGATGCAGACACAGTCTGTGGCGGAAGTCCGTACATTTCTAAGCTTTCATTGTAATTCATTGACACTGTTCACTCCCAACAAAAGATGTGTTCAACAATATCAGTCTACATTTAAATACCTATAAAAAGATATATTTGGAAAATACGCATAAAATAGTTTAATCAGTGGGAGAAGGATGCATATACAGCTTCCATCATGCCTGATCCTGCCTAAACTTGGAAGCTAAGTAGGGATGGGTGACTTAATTGTTGTTAACTGCCCAGAGCTTCAGCTATTGGGAGTATAGAAATGTATTCAACAACAAGTCAAAAGTGCACACAACTGATTCTTACATTTAGGAAAATATGAACTAAAGTACAGACGGGGAAAACAGCCAATTTTGCAATCTGATAGGGATTCAAGTTAGAATGAATCCCAGGATGGAATTCAGAAAACTTTGGCAAAATCAAATTTGGCTGGTTGGCATATCCCCAGTTCAAAGGGGTTTCTAATGTTCCTTTATAAGGCAGAAAGATATGGGTTCAGATAGAAGTTTCAGCCCCAGCACAAGACATGATACAAAGACCATTCAGTTCAGGGTTTCATCCCCCACAATGGATTATCTCTGGCAGGTCCCCCATGCTTTCTGCCCTCCCTAAACATTTTCTGCTGCATTCTCATTTGAGTAGTGATCTCTTCTGATACCTCTAGAAAGCTGTCCCCTTTTAGTTCCTGGGACAGCTATGTTGCCAGAAGCAAGAGAAGAGAAGTCTTAGAAATCTCCAGCTAAATCCTATTTGTGCAGTTAAAAGGGAGCAGCAGGGCTGGGTAAGAAACAGAGCTTGGGCCATCAGGAGCCTGTTGTTTCATAACCACCACTGTCCATGCACACGGACGTCCTGTCCTCACCACAGCACAGTGGCCACATTCGGGGCCAGTATGGCCTTTGTGCCAAAGTCAGCTAAATGTTACACCAGGAAAAGTGATGCGAACATGGAGGACTTCCTTTGCACTGAAAACCTTAGAGCATTTAACTCAGAATTTTGTCCACAGGCTCTTATTCCATCAAAAGTTCATTTAAATTGCAGCTCTAGGCAGGTTTTCCCCACCCCTCCTGATGAGTTGGGTCTACAGCATCTATCATCCCACCGGCCAACAAAGGTCTGGGCAAGGATGACGGAGAGTGTAGTCCACTACATCTGCAGGATGCCAGGTTGGGGAAGGGTTGCCCTTAGCCAGAGGCTGAGTGGGATTAAATCTGTACAAGACAGATAAAAGGAACTATTTCTTCACACAGTATGTAACTAATACATAGAATATATCACTTGCAGACATGGCAATCAGGGACCATTAATTAAGATGTCTTAATAAATTAAACTAAACAAAAAGAACTATTCTGTTCTCCCAGGGACCATAGGATGGCTCATAAAACCTCTCCAAAGTTAGCACTCTCACTTCAGAAAGGGGAGCCAAAGATCTGACCCCAAATCCCTCTTCACCCAAACCAATAAAGAAATACCGCAGCAGCTGCCTTTGAGGTTGGAAAGACAACCTCAGAACCTCAGGGAAAGGGCTGTTTCAGTGGGCTGGAAGGGGAGGAGACAGAGTGTCTGGGATATGAGTTAATCAGAGCTTCTTTTCTTGGATGGGGACTATGACAGTAGCTCGGAGCTATAGTAGTAACCTTTACTTGAGCAACTGCTGGATAGAGAATGAGCACTGGCTAGAGGAATCCCTGCACAGAAATCTACTTCTTGGCTTCACAAATGAGGATCTTCCATGTGTACACCCACTAGCAACAAAAGCTGGCAGCTCCACAAACATCAGTGCAAAAGCTTACATGTTCATTGTCAGCTGTCAGCATCTTGGTGCCTCTCCCATGTAGGTCCTACACGCGTGCCTAAGTCTTCACACTCGGATCTCTCATTCTGCCCTTGTCATATGCATGGCCAGACACAGCGTGTCCCTGGCATGCACCAGAGCACCCCGAGAAAAAATTTGCATTGGCACAATTCCAAAGTAAAAACCTTGCTTCTTAAAAGAAAAAATGAAAACAAGGAAACACACACCAGAGCCTGTAACCTAAATCCTAAATAATGGATTGCCAGGCATGCACTAGAAACATCAGACAACAAAAGGCTGCAAAAGCTGCGGCTGGCAGGAAGCCAGCCCACACTCCTGCCTGTCCACGCAAGAGCAGGATGTTGGCCAGTTTGGTTTGCTTTCACATTCTTCGCTAGGCAGACAAAGCCACAGTAACTTGTGCCCGAGCAGAGCAAGAAGTCCATCTGATGATGTTGCATCACAGTCCCATAGTCTGTGGCCCAAACAGAGATGGGTGGAAACATTCATTTCAGTTTCTTTCACTTGCTCATTTGTAGTTCAGTTGCTCCAGAACATTGAGGGATTTTTAACTGTAAACTGCACTTTCAGGAAAATTTGAGCACATTTCACCTAGCACATTTCTGGATGCGATGCTGCCTCAGAGGCACACTTTTTGCAGTCTTCCTCATTTGTTCTAACCTATTTCACTAATACATGCATTTTTGTGTGCAATTTCCCCTAAAATGCACATTTTTTGTATACCATTTTTTCCACGTACTACATTGCAAAATCTAGAGAAGTGCAAAGCTTGATGGGCGACCAAGTTTCTGTTTGCCTCTTGTTTCAAAGGGCAAGATTAGGTAAGTCCACATTTAGA